GATGGAGGTTGTATTTAGCATGCGGAAGTGCTCACAAATATTGTCTTTGGAACGAATGGATTGATTCTATCTATGATGAAAAGAGCGATGAATATATACATGAGATCATGTGATTACATGATCTGTTTGGGGAAGGAGCGGAAGCATATAGAAACGTATAGAAGTATATGCAACACGTACATATATTACTTGGATAGTCTAGCTGATCTACCAGTCGATTCAGCATGGCGAGATTGCCACTCCAATACTTTTCCACGTCCTACTCACCTGCGAGTTGCATCCAAACAGATGTTTCTATAAGTTCGGCTGCAAGGAAAGTGTAAGGTTCGCTGAGTCAACACGGATTACAATGCTGCGGCGAATCTGGTTGGTTGTATGGAGGGTGACTACTGCTGTGCCAAGGGCCTAAGTCACCTTATTACAATTTTCCCTTCCTCGGCAGTAGTTCTATAATGAGCTTGGGTGCAAAAGTGTTTGTAAGCAAGTAGGTGAGGGGAGGTTGGGAGTAAAGGACTGTATTATCGAGCGTGTTCTTGACCATAAGTTCTGGTGAACTATGAAATATATATCCATAAATTGTGTTGCCAAGTCGGTGTAATTGTCCCGACTATGTGCGGTCTCGGCTTACACGCCCTCTCAGATTCGAACTTGTACTGAAGCTGTTGTGATCGGCTTGGGTACACCCTTGACTAAAGTGAGGCCTTCAACACCTATGTATGTATGACCTGGTTATAGAGTTATGCTATGGTGCTGACGGTTCTTTTGCCTACAGAAATAATCTACAGGATGAGTTTCGCAGTGTTGAGCATCCTCAAACCTGTAGATAGGCGTTCCTATCCTTTCGATGAAGCTTTTTATGCTACAGTAGTCATATCTTAACTTAGCTTTCGGTCCTCCTTTAGGAAGTTTTGAGGGCCTTTTTGACTCTAGTTTTGTAATTCGTACATGAATCGGAAATGAAATAATAATAATAATAATAATTCTATTTAACGTGCTACTTGGCTCCCAATCGGGTCTATAAACACGTAATATCAAATGCTTAGAGCAAAGTAAACCCGACTCTAGAGGAATGTCCCTCTAGATTCCAGAATCTTTGCCTTTTCCCCACCCTCAAACATTCCAATATAGTTATGATGAGTTTTTTCACCAGCTAATAGTTATTTCCTATCTTCCAATGCTGCCGTTCAGACAACAGAGAGGTTGGAAATGAAATAACAATGATTAACTTAAGGAATTTAGAAAAAAAAACGCAGTAAAGATGCCAATGTCTATATCTCTGACTGAGATGCCCCAAGACATCACGAATTGTCCTCTTTCGACTCATATGGCCCTCAAAGTAAGCATTAAATCGGGCTTCATACACGGATATCGTGGACTACCGGGTTTGGGTATGGTCGACTATCCACGCCCGATGCTGCTCCATTAAGACAGCCTCGCCAAGACATCACCTTGGCATCGTGCAAAACCCTTCTCATCTCTGAGAATAGGGTATACTTGGGTACCTTAAAAAACTCCTGGATACCCTGTGAACATGAAACTGAAGCCGTAGAAACTGTTAGACAGTTTGAATGTATGGACCAAACCTCGCTTGAATACTGTGCAAAAAAAAAAAATTCTTTGCGGCGAAATGCTTGGAGAACAACTCTCCTAAAGATGGGGCCGGCAATCTATCTGAGATGGTGAGACTGCTAATTACGAAAAAGTGCAAATATAGGCAGGATCTTGATATAGTATGCAGCTGCTAAGGTAATTGTACAAGACGACTTTCCTTCCTCAACTTTCAGCAATGTGGGCGCTGTATATTTTTACTGCATCGCTCGCTTTCCCAGCTTTGTACCAACTAGCCAGCGGTCTGGAATATCAAAGTCCAAATATCTCCAAGTACCGCGAAATATTTCTTGCAGTATCTCCAGCATTTGGGTCTTTTGAATAGAATATCCTGTAGGGTATGTCATAGTTTGCCCAGGCGTGCGCCATGGATGATGTCGCTAATCAAGGAAATTGTTTGTTTTTCGTCCGTCACGGCTGTTAGAAGTGTTGAAGCCATTAAAATGTTTTGAGAGAAAGACTAATTAATTGGGCGACTACGAGGCTGATTTCTATTAAGAAGTTTATATATTAGCACCCCCAAGTGTCCAGTCAGTAAAGAAAAAGCTTCCGACCGGACCGCTAGGCCTGTAAAATTTTATGAGATGGTATATTGGGAAAGCGTCCAAGGGATATTTGGGAAATTTCGTAAGAATATCGGGAAAGTGTTGAAGGAATATCTAGACAGTGTTGTAGCGAAGGAGGTGAGGAAGTCGCGAATTGAAAAAAGTTTGTTCGATAAAGAGACCGCAGTTCGCAATCTATGTAATTTCCACATTAGCCTTGTATGTACTCATTATCCTCGTGTTGGTTAGCACGTGTCCCTGAAACCCCTTTTGGCACTTGTTTAACATCCGGCATCTCGCATAATGGCACGTGCGGAGAGATCAACAAATACAAACGTAAAACCCCTGCAAACGAAGACTGCTGTGGCTCATCAAGGTATTGTGGGTCTACACCTAGGCATTTCAGCGGCGGCTGCCAGACGGCTCTTGGAATCTGCATAGGCCCCTTATTTTCACCTGTGGAGGCACTCAGAAATACAAATGTAAAGGCGTGTCCTACAGAAACTGCTACAGTAGTCCGAGATATTGTGATAGCAGTGGTTCGCACTAGGGCGCTGGCTGTAAGCGTTTCTTTTACGACTGCGCTGCGGTAGCGACGAATTGCCGGCGGCACTCAAACCGAGCGAAGTCTCCCAGGAGGGTACATGTGACACTTCCAAGGACTTGAAGTGCCAAGGCAGCGGATGTTGGACTGCTGTAGTCTGCAAGGTTATTGCGGAAGTACGTCAAAGCACTGCGCTCAAGGCTGGTATGTCCCTTCCCATTCTTTACATTTGAATATCTTGATCTCGAAACTGAGCTTTTACTAGCCAAACATCCTTTTCGAGTGCATGTCTCACATCCAATTTTGCGACTCTCACCAGCTTGTGCGGCTCAGTGAAAGGTGGTTATATCTGCACTAGAGAACCGTTCGATGGTCAGTATTGTTGTTCATCGGGAGGCTTTTGCAGGACAACAGACAGTCGCTACAAACCTAGATGGCGAGTCAACCTCTGGATATAAGTCTGCTTTCAAACCGATATCGCTACAAACAAAAGAGCCATAGAAAGTGCATGTAGATGCTAGATCTGGTGCAGTTACCATCCTTTCGATAGGATGACTCCGTGCGTCATAAGTTAACATATGTAATATGCGGTGAGCACAAACTATGAATTGATCAAGAGCCCCTTGTATATGCGTTTGTGTCGAAGTCATATAGGCAAAATAGATGTACATCGTCTCACCGTGTAAGTCCAAACTCTTCCGCACAAATCCTGCAATCCTTATTCTAGAAATTATTTTTAGAAGGAGAGTTGTATAACTGAGGCCTATAAAAGAAGAGGGGCCCGCGACAGAGGACTCCAATTCACGTGCACAAAAGAGCTAGCCATCTCCATTCACATCTCAAACCTCGCCGAAATCATCAAGAAACAGCTGGAGGGCTACGCAGACAGCAGAAAAGCCAAAAAAGAAAAAGAAATAGATATTATTCTATTAGTTTCTTTTGCATCGGCCGGGAATCGAACCCGGGGCTAGCCGAAGCTGCGATTGGCAACGGCTAATTTTACCACTAAACCACCGATGCTGTCGTAATTGTCGATGGAGAATTTTTATTTCCAAGGCTAATTGTACAACAAATTTACGGATGTTGAAAGGTTTTTCTCCGCAACTGGGACATTGTACTTCGACTGCGAGTACGCCAAAGAGAATTCTAATAGCATGAAAAAGAACTGTTATCCTTTGTAATATGGCTTGAAGTAGACGGTAAGAGTAGCGAGTAAATGGATGGGGGGATTCAATACGAATGTGATAGGAAAAGGGGTGAAAAAAAAAAGGAAATCCCTACTTTCAGCTAGAAACGGCAAAATAAATGTTCTTGCTCCTCGACGGGGAATTGAACCCCGGCCACGAGCGTGACAAGCTCGTATCCTGACCACTAGACGATCGGGGATGTGATAGGTCCTATGGTAAAAAATTTTTAAGTATTTGCTAATGACTGTGGGTCACGTGTGGGGCGCGGTTAAGTCGCGAAGACATAGACTTTAGGAAATTTAACTCCGCTTATATAAATTCACAAGCCCCACGAATCGGAATAGTCTAGCAATACTAAATGTTTTACTAACAATGGCAGCATATTTATGGTTTAAACGGAAAGACGTTCAAGACATGATGCGGTAAGACCATGTGTACAGGAACAGCATTTAAAAATATATTGGTATAGCGACGGTGGATACTTGAGAGCAAAATTCATATCTTAATAATATGTAACCAGGCCATTTGTTATGCTCTAGTTCCCATGTTTCCCTTATTGGTCCTTGATCTATAGATGGTGGTGCCTTTTATGCATAGATTTGAACTTTCTTTTCTATTATCAAAATGTTTATGGAAATGCACCGGCTCTACAAATAACTGCATTAGATATCTTATCTCAGCTTATCAGGTTTATTAAAATCAGTTCACAAAGGATCTACCACCTTCTAGCTCCTTAATGGACCAATAAATCCTCAGCCTTCACACTCCACCGACTCTCCTCAGCTCCCACGCTCCATCCACTCTCCTCTGCTCTTCCATACTGCACATCCTCGATCCAGCTCTTCATTAGCTGTGTAACCTCGCCCTGCTCGCCACAGGATATCATCTCTCCCCTCCACTCAATCCCTCTAATCCCTGTAACTACAGCTGCGGTGCCAGTGCCGAAAACTTCGATCAGATCGCCCTTGGCAGCAGCAGACGCCATCTCAGCCATGCTAATCTGGCGCTCAGAAACCCGCCATGCCGAATTAACTTTTACATAAGGCATCTTGCTATTCTTCGACTTCGCAAGCTCCAGAACACAACTCCTCGTAATGCCCGGCAAAATCGTCCCGTCCAACGGCGGGGGAACCAATTCAAACACCTCGGTTTCTTCCTGTTCTCCTCTCCACTCTAATCGTCCCCTATGCCTCAGAACGACGAAGACGTTCATCGTCCCCGCCTCACCGACGAATTCTTCGTCTTCAACCCCAGGCGTCGTCCATAGCACCTGTTGAAAGCCATGCTTTTTGGCATCGCGCTCGACGCGGATGCAGGGGGCATAGTTGCCACCGATTTTATGACAGCCGGCGCCGCCACGGAAGGCGCGGGCATGGTGATAGGGGTTTAGGGATTTGAGGAGGATGCCCGGGGTTTGTCGTTTCTTAAGAGCTGACTGAGGTGTAGAAGGAGTCGTGGTTGGGAGGTTGTCTGGAGAAGTCCGAGGTGCAGAAGGGGCGGGCGCACTGAAATAAGACCCAACAGGTGACGCGATGAGGTAAAGAAGTGCCTCTGTGGGAGCGGTAACTCCGAGAGATGCGGAAGTCCCGATTAGCACTGGTCGGAGGTAAAGCGTATGCGTTGGAAGCTGATAAATCCATCTTTCCTCCACCTCCACGAACTTCGCGACCAACTTCAACAGTTCTTCTGCGTCGAAGCCTGGTAAAGCGATCCTTCTCGCCGACTCATTGAAGCGTTTTAAGTTGTCAAGTGGTCTGAATAACCGCACTTTGCCGGCGGAGTCTTTGTACGCTTTCATGCCTTCGAAGCACTCGAAGCCGTAGTTGAAGACGCAAGCCGCAGGGTCCAGAGACAACGGCGCGTAGGGCATAATCTGTGGGGCGTGCCATCCTGCTTTCTCTGTCCAGCGAATTTGGAGCATGTGGTCTGAAGGATGTTAGCCTGACTATTTTTGAATGTCTAGAATGTGGAGAAGGGAAGATTTGTGGGCTGAGTATTCATACCGGTGACATGCTTTCCAAACGCTAGATCTTCTGCTGCGGGAACTATCTTAGGGCTGGGTGTAAGGGTTACCTGGAGGGTTGAGGCATCGAGTTTCGCTCCTAGGTCACTACTTGGAATGTTTACATCAGCGGCGTTGGTGATATAATCATCATTCAACGCGTTATTATTTTGACGAGGAATTGGAGTAGAGGTTCCTGACAGCAATACTCCTGGAGCCATGTTTGAAATTGTTGATTCACCATCTTTCTAACCATGACAGCCAGTGTATGTATCCTCGTCCTCAATCTCGAATCCGATATCAATCCGAGAAAGGAACCGAATTCTAGCCGGTGCTCTCCACAGTGGAGTGGTGGGGAAAGGACCGGACCGCGGAGCCCGGAATGCGGTCCGAAAGCACGGGATACACTACTAAGCCCGAAATAAGCTTAGCATTCTATCCCGACCTCCTCGTGAGCCGTGCAAGTATTGAGGAATGATGAAGCAAGGATCATACACATGGTGATGGGAACGGACCACTCACATGTGCTGTCATGATAGAGTCACGTTTCACGTGTTGGGTGCTTCGGAGAAGCCGAGCCCACGAGAGGTAGTGCAACCTACCATAAGAAGACAAAGACCTCCCCACCCACCAGGAAACACTGCGAAATCGCACATCACAGCGAAAAATGGTTGGTCAAGTCTGCCAAGCACCGTCGTGTCGGATATATAGCCCAACGTGACGGTAGCGCTGACTCACCAAACATGTCTTTTCTATTCCAGGCAAACGTATGGGGGGTTGTTGTCGGGGTTAAGTTAGCATTTCCGGGGAAGGATGTCTTGGAGGGTGGGGGGTGCTGAACTGGCTTCTTTGTGGCTTTCGAGTGATGACAGGAAGGGCGTGTTTCGTGTTTCGAAGATCAAAAGGCCGCCACTCCCGGCGTGTCTGCTCGTGGTAAAGAACGTCAAACCCCTCATCACTTGTTTCTAGAAGCCTTGTCTGTAGCTCCTTGCCGCCGCACGACCAAGAGCCTCAGGCACGGTTTTCTATCAACGCGAAAATTCCAAATTTCTTCCTGGTACCACGAAATCTGTGCTCTCAACTTTCCGTTTTCTTTCTCTATCTACTTTCGGAATTCGAATTTAAAATGGCCACAATTTCAGAGAAATCTCCCCTTCCCACCTTCACAAATATCTCTCTAAGCGGCAACGAGTGCTCCAACCCCGCCTCCACAGAGCCCTCCCTGCGAAATGTACCTACAGCACCACACGCGCCGATCGCCGAGTCGAAAGAACAATTCATCCCACAGCCAGAAACACAGACACCAACAGATGGATCGCTAAATGAAAATGGGAATGCGAATAATCCGAATGATAACCAAGAGTTCTCGCTACCGCCGGTGGATGGAGGGAAGGATGCCTGGTTGTTTTTGGCAGCCAGTTTTGTCGTAGAGGCGCTGGTTTGGGGTATGTACTTTTGGCATCTCAATAGCGAGATTGTGGTGGTTGAATTATGAAGAAATGTCTCTAAGTTTGTAATATAGGCTTCCCGTTCTCATTCGGTGTGTTCCAGGAATACTATTCTACCCACGAGCCGTTCGCTGGCTCCAGTAACATCGCAGTTATAGGAACCTGCGCCATGGTACTTCCCCTTCCTCTCCCAACCCCAATTCGCAACCGCATATTGACATTCCACAGGGAATTATGTACCTCGACCTAATAGTAGTCTTCGGCCTCCTCGTCCTCTTCCCCCGCATCCAACCCCTCGCCACCCTCGGCGGCCTCCTGATAATGTGCCTCGCTCTGGCCCTCTCATCCCTCTCCACAAACACAACCCACCTCATCATAACCCAGGGCATAATCTACGCTCTCGGCGGCTCTTTCGCCTACTCCCCCTGCATCCTCTTCATGGACCAATGGTTCGTCCGCCGCAAAGGCCTCGCCTACGGCATTATGTGGGCGGGCACCGGTCTGGCTGGCGTCATCCTACCTTTAGTGATGGATTGGCTGCTCCACGCTTATGGATTTAGGACGACGTTGAGAGTGTGGGCAATTTGCCTCTTCCTCCTAACTGCACCGCTGCTCTACTTCGTCAAACCCCGCATTCCCATCTCGCAAGCCCATATCCCCCGAAAAATCTCCTTCTCCTTCCTTAAAACGCCGACTTTCACAATCCTCCAAGCCTGCAACACCATCGAGGCACTTGGTTTCTTCCTCCCCTCCATCTACCTGCCCACCTACGCGCGCCAACTTGGTGCCTCGTCCTCGCTCTCTGCGCTCACTGTCATTCTCTTCAACGTATCGTCGGTCATCGGATGCATCCTCATGGGGTCTATTGTGGATAAATGGCATGTGACAACTTGTATTTTAATTTCGACTATTGGCACGGCATTCAGCGTGTTTGTGATTTGGGGGTTTGCCACGAGCTTGGCGACGCTGTACGTGTTTTCGTTGGTTTACGGACTCTTTGCGGGATCATTTACGTCGACCTGGCCGGGGATTATGAAAGATGTAAAAAAGGTAAAGGAGAGCGCAGATCCTAGCATCGTATTCGCGTGCCTCGCCGCTGGTCGAGGTATTGGTAATATTGCGTCTGGGCCGCTGTCAGAAGCACTGGTGAAGGGGTTTCCATGGAAGGGAGAAGCTGGTTTTGCATACGGAAGCGGATTCGGTACTTTGATCGTCTTCACTGGTGTGACGGCAGTTTTTGGTGGTGCAAGTTGGATTTGGAGGAAGGCGGGCGTGTTATAGATTGCTTATTATCAAGGTAGGTGTTGGGAAAAAGGGGTAAAGAACGGGTTATGGTCCAAGCGAAGGAGGAAGTGCGAGCTCAGAATATATATATGTATATGG